GCAGCTTTTCACAGTGGCAGTATCGAGTCAGTGAGGTTTACCTGAGGTATGATTATTGCTGACTAAATAGTGCAAGGTCCTGAGTTTGATTCCTGGTACCAAAAAAAAGGTTCAGATAATACATTAATAACAGAGAGAATAATACCATCCACAATTCAATTTACTTTATGTTCTTTTAAACATTTTTCTGCATGGAAGTGATTTTGTTTTTGAGACAATGTCTCACTAGGTGGCTCAGGCTGGCCTAGAACTCACTGTATATTTTAGGCTGGCTTCAAACTCATGGGACTACCCTTGCCTGAGCCTCCTGAGTGCAGGAGTGTGCCAGGGATTACAGGTGTGTGCCATCATGTCCAACCAAGAAGTGATTTTTCTTAAAAACTTAGTATTGTTTGCCATTTCACTTTTAATTTTTTTTTTATTAGTACATGTTTCCACCACATAATGACTACATTCATCATGGGGCAGGTATACTTGTACATATATCTTAATTCTTATTTTTGCCCTCATTCCTTCCCCTCCTTCTTTATCTTCCCATTGAATCCCTTTTTCTTCCCTTTCTTGTTCCTCTTCTCATTTGAGCAAGTTCTTCCTATTTCCTAAAAAAAAAATTTTATTCTCAATTGACATGAAGGTACCTAAGGCTTTACATTTTCAATAACCTTTCCAGTAAGGTTAATGCTGCCTAAGTAGAAAGACTTTTAGCTTTAGAGATGGAAGGGGCCTTAAATGTACTCTTCCTTAGCTTCCTGATTTTAAATAGAGAAGAAACCAGTAATCTAACGGCTCTTAAACATCCTAGTGACTCTGCTGGATAAATCACTGCTAACTACAGGTAGAGAAAGATGGGTCTAAATGATATAAAAAGAGGAACTAGGCCTCATACAATCTTGGATAGGTCCGTAAATGGGAGACAATAAAATACCAATTGGTGACCTAATGTAATGGTTCATAGATGGATGTCCCCCCAGGCATCATGCACTGACCCGTGAGGCTTTGGGGAGGTGACTGCATCAAGGGAAAATGATACTCACCAGTGGATCAGTCCACTAACAAGTTTATAGCTAAATGTGATTTGGGAGATGAAGGCTGCTTGGAGGAGATGGGCCATGTGGCACAGCTTGGAAGGGTATATTTACCTGTCCGTCCCTTGAGTTCACTCTGCTTGCTGAATGACATGTTACAAGCAAGCCTCCTCTGCCAAGCAGAAGTGCCTTGCACCCAGTTCACTATCAACTGAAACCTCTACAAACTGTGGGTCAAAATAAACCTTTTCATTTTCTAAGTTGTGGGTGTCAGATATTGTGTCCCAGAGACAACAAATGACTAAAACACCCAACTTTCCTCCATCTCAGCAAATTAGAGAAATGTTGTTCCTTTTTCTAACTCTAAGCATGGACCTGTTGAGAAAAAAACAGATACAGGGAACAGGAAGAAAAGCAAGATGAAAACACACAAAAGACAGATTAATAGAAGGTAAAAGCTGAGGGCTAGGTATGTAAGCTTACTGGTAAAATGCATCCCTAGCCTACATAAGTCCCAGGGTTTGATCCCTAGCATCAACAAAGTAAAAGCTGAAAGGAATTCTGGACATCATTAAATCTATGTCTCATTTGCCATGTATTAATCTAAACGTTTTACCTGTTTTAACTAATTTAATTCTTTACTTGATCATCCTACAAGATAGGCAGTTATCACTGGCTTTTTTGGGTGAGACAGAGTCTCACTATTTAATTGAGACTAGCCTCAAACTTCTGGTGGTCGTCCTGCCAAACCCTCTCATCTGCTGGGATTACAGGCATATACCATCACATGCCATTTTTAAAAATGGAGGGGCCAGGGAAATGGCTCAGAATAAGTGTTTCCCTGATAAGAACAAGGGTCTGAGTTCAATCCCTAATTCCACCAAAAATAAATAAATAAATAAATAAAAATGGAGGCACAAAAAAGCTAAGTAAGGCCAGCCAGATAGCTCAAAGGACTAAAGCAACTGCTTAGGCAGCACAGGGACCGGGATTCCATCCGTGGCCCACATGCTGTGCCAGCCCCACCCCCGAGGCTCACTGAGACAGCAACTGAGCCTGGGTGTGGTGGTACACACTTATAATCCCAGCACTTCGGAGGCTGAAAACAGGAGGATCACTATGAGTCCAATCTGTGTAGTTAGACCCTGTAGACCTTGTACTAGATACACTAAAAAATAAGAAGAAAAGCAAAGCTAACAAAAAAGAAAAACTAAGTAAATTGTTCAATATTAAAAGCTAAAAACAATGGAGGTGGAATTCAAATCATCTTTATGAGCATTCTTTTCCTCCCTTTCTAGATTTCCTTTTTCTTTCTTTTTTTTTTTTTTTTCCAGAACCAGGGATTGAACTCAGGTCCTTTCTACTGAGCCATCTCCTTGGCTCCCCTTTCTAGATTGTTAAATTGTTTTTTTTTTTTTAATCATACTCTTTTGCTTTGCATATAATTATATCTTTCTTCCTAAAATTTCTAGTGCCTAGCTCTCTGGGAGGCTGAACTAGGAGGATCATAAATTCAAGAGCAGCCTGAGAACTTAGCAAGATCTTGTCTTGCTAAAATTAAAAAAAAAAAAAAAAAAAAACCTTTTTTTTCAAGAGATGGGGATGTAGCGCCAAGTGCAGGCCCTGGTTCAATCCTCAATACTGTGGCACACATGTACACACACACACACACACACACACACACTGTTTAGATTCACTGCTTCCATTTCTGTGCCTGAACCATTCCCTCCCTCTTATTTTCAGCCCATCACATCAACAAAATACTCTTGCTAAGGTTACCAGTAGCTCCATAATGATAAAACCAACAGGCATTTTTCAGTCCTCATTACTTAAATTCTAAAAGTTTTGTTTCTACCTGATCATTCCTTCACTTCCAAGACACTCCTTTGGCACCCCTCTCTATTCCTTCTATTTCTCTTGTAGGTTCACTCATCTTGTTTCCCCCATTAAATTTGGAACTACTCAAGGTTTAACTTAACTGACCTTATCCAGACCTCTGATTAAATTACCACATATATGTAAATTATCCCCCAAGTTATATTTCCAACACTAATCTGTCTTCCAAGCCCCAGAAGCACATCTCAAACTGCTTCCTGATGTCATCATTCACAAACAAAAAAGTAGTTTCTATCATCTTCTAATGTTCTTTACCTCAGTGAAGAGTACCATTTATTCAACTATACAAGCCAAGAACCTAGGAGCCAACTTTAATTCCATTCTCTTCATTTCCTGAATCCAATCACCAATTCCTACCCATCTTGCCACCTACATGCCTCTAGAATCTCATTCTCAGTTCTTGTTGACATCTCTAGACTAGGATGACTGCATACTCTCCTAAGTGATTCTTCTATATCCACCAAGGCTCCCCTCATTACATGTTAAGCAGGAGGGATCAAGCTACCTCCTCCACATCCCACTTTCTAGGGAAAGGAAAACTTAGTGGTTCCATACATTTTTTAAGAAAAAATACAAATTCCTCTAAAACATCCAGCTTCACCCTGTACTGTATACTACTCCACCCCATTTTCTTTGTACCAGCCACACTGGCTCTTTGTGCTTTTAAGTCATTTCCTTCCCAACTGATATGGGATCTGCACACCTGCTATTCTGTATAGAACGCTGTGCCTCCCCTCTTCACCTCATTAGAATTATTCCATCAGATAGCAAAGCCTTCCTGCCATTTCAGGCACCCATCGCATCAAGCACCTCTCCTGGGTAGCAGTTCCAGTTAGTAGTGAGATCACTGTTTAATATCTAGTCCCCCCAAAAGACTCCAATCCCTTAAGATTAGGGACAATGTTTGGTTCAGAATGTATCCGCCAACGCTCTGCACAGGAAACGTCAGTTGAATAACTGAGGAGGCCTGGATCACAGGTATGAATCTCAAATTTTTCAAAGAAAGTGGATGCAATCATTTCCTGCATCACTGTCGTCGTCCATGCCCCCTCCCCCCGGCCCCATAGATAAGGCCCTTTAAAAAAAAAAAAAAAACAAAAAACTACACAATCACAAGCAGTAACAAGTCGGCCTCCTCAGCTAAACCGGGCGCGGAAAAAGGTTGGAAAACAGGCCTTTCTGCTGGGGAACGTTGGCCACAGGGGGGACACAAAAGGCGCCCGTGGAAGAGTCAGGCAGCAAGGGCCAGCCGCTGTGGGACCCGAGTCTCGCCGCCAGAGACCCCAGAGCTCTGTTCCTGCTCACAAAGGGACTCACCCAGTTGGAAACTCAGAGGCTGCCTTCCGCCCCTTGCTATTAGGACTTTCAGTGAGAACTGCAGGCTCAGGCCGCACAACCGTCAGGTCGCCTCCTACGAGCAGCCGCCCCCCCCCCGCCCCCCCCGCTCTCCCTCCAACTTACTCGGCGTCAGCTCTGAGTCTCCGAGCCCCTGCATTGCCCGAAACGCCAAACCCAGTCAGCGCCTTCCAGCCCACAAGACACAGCGCGCCGAGGAGGGACACAGCTTCTTTCGCCAATCCTGGAGTCTCGTTCTCATGACGTCAGAAAGACAAAGCCAATAACAAGCGACGGTCGGAGGGCGGGGCAGAGAGGAATCTTGGAAATCGATTGGATTCTCCAAGCCGGAAGTCCGGGAGGAAGAACACAGTCGCAGCCAATCGCTAGGCGCCTAGGCCTGTCCGCGCGGTCTGTGGCGGCACTGAGGAGAGCGTTTTCCGCCATGATAGAGCAGCCGAAGCGCAAGGCCCCGGAGTTGCCACTGGTTCCAGTCAAGAGGCAGCGTCATGAGTTGCAGCTGGGAGCGCCAGGCTCGGGCCCCGGAGCAGGGCAGCAGCAGGCGGCCCCGGGAGCTTTGCTGCAAGCGGTAAGCGAAGGAGCATGCGCTCTTAGGCCTCAACTCATCTCCTTGTCTCTTGAGCGCTGCTCCTGGTGATCCCGCAGTGCGCGGGCGGAATGAGAATGTACCTGAAGTTAAAGCGCACAAACGTTATAAAAGCTCCCGATATCCTGCGGTGCCTCATTTATCGCTTCCCTGTTGGATGCCTGTTCGCATCCTTTTCACTGCCCTGTGAGGTAATGTTAAAATTAGTCCAAAATCTTGGGCTCCAAACCAAGATCCTGGCTTCCGCCTCCTAAACCTTCCAGGCATGCGGCATAAGGTAAACATTCAAAAGTTTCTAGAATGAACGAATGAATGAGCAAGGGAAGGAATAAGCGAAATGATCCCGCTGTGGGACGTTGGGCAAGTTGCTTTTTCTTTTATTTCTCAGTGTGTGTGTGTGTGTGTGTAATTAGCAGCAACTGAATGATGACTTTATTGACTCTTGTACTGTGTTGTTTATGAAATCTTCATTGATCTGGATAACAGCCTAAAATGCAGCAACTATTATTTTCTCATTTTACGGGTAGGAAAACAAACTCTTAATGTAGTTGTATTGCTCATAAAATAGCCATAGTGGTTACACTTTCTGCTGTGCTGTTAGACTCAGATTAGGAAGTACATATGTACCCCCTCTCAGCTCCTCAACCAGCCTGTCAGCAAATCCAACAAGCATCGTCCTCCGAATATCTGAGCCAGGTGGCATGGCACACTACTGAAGAAGCAGAGGCAAGATGATTGCTTGAGCCCAAAAAACATTGCTGTTTCCAAATAAAGGTGTTTGCATTAATGCCAATAAGGTGTTGCCAGAGGAGCCTAATTTAGTTTCCATTTTTTGTCCTATCAACAGTCTTTTATCAGTCTAGTCTGCACTGAGGGAATCCTAAACATCAGTTCACTTTCTCTTCTGCTACAGACTTTGCAATGGCTTTCCATTTACTTTGGAGTAAAAATAAGAATTTTTATCACATTTCTGCTCTGCCAATTTTCCATTGCTTTCAATGCTGTAGTCATGGTGATTTACATTCTCTGACCTAATAGCCTTTGCATTTGTTGCCCCCTCTCCTGGAATGCTCAAATGTCCACATGATTTGTATACTCCACTCCTTCAAGTCTTTGTTCAGATACACTTTTTTTGGCAAAGTCTTTCCTTACCACCCTATTTTAAATTGTAGCATCTTACACTCTGGAACTCTCATTTCTAATTATTTTTCTGCAAGATAGATGCCATCATCTATGTCTTACATCTTTTTTTTTTTCCTCTCACTTTTTTTATTACCTCTCCCTTCTCTCCCTCCTTCCCTCTAGAATACAAACGTCATTATTCTTTTGTGTAGTATTACTTTCCTTAGTGTCTAGAATGCTGCTTATCACGTATATGTTAAAAGAATAAATATGCTGGAAATTATTAAAGAGATTTAGGATTCGTGGGTAATGTACTTCTTCCTATTTGGCAAGTAAGAATATCAACCTAGGCCCAGGGAGCGCCTGCCTGGCAAGGGCAAGGTCCTGAGTTCAGTTCCTGGTACCACAAAAAGAAAAAAGAATATCAACCCAGGTTTAGATCAGTTACCAATCCTGGACTTAATGTCCAAGGCCATAATTAAAATTACTTTGCTTAATAATCTGAATCCTGCAGGCTTGTTGGGAAGCCCAGTTCAGTAATTCATTAAATGAACCGGAGACTGGGAAAACTGTTGAATGACACAGATAGGGTCCCTGCACTCAAAGCTTCATTTCTCTGGGAAAATGACAAGATACATAAAGACTTACATGAGGAAGGTCATTTCAGGTAGTGCTCAGTGCTATGAAGGAATACAGTGAAATTAACAATACAGGTAGAGATGTGGCATGTTTCTTGAGTTTACATGACCAGACTTTCTAAAGAGAAAATACTTGAAAGCCAAATCTAGGAGAAGAGATTCTCATCAGGGACAATTTCATGGGTAAAGATTCTAAGGCAAAAATAGGTTTAATATGTTTGAGCAATCAAAAACTGATTGTGGTACCAGAGCCAGTTTGGAAAGGAAGAAACTCAGTATAATAGGTAGAAACTATAATACTGGGAGGGTATCATTTTGGAGATAAGAGATATTTGAGCAGAGCTGCCATTCTCTAAATCAGGTAAAAATCCACTCAACCACTATTTGTCTAATCTTCCTTCTACCCCCCTACCCCCCAGTTTTGCAACCTTCATTTGTATACAGTGGCTACTTCATATTTCTGTTTTGTTTAGGGACCTCCAAGATGTTCCTCCCTTCAAGCCCCAATCATGCTGCTCTCGGGACATGAAGGAGAAGTGTACTGCTGCAAGTTTCACCCCAATGGCTCCACTTTAGCATCTGCAGGATTTGACCGACTGATATGTAAGATACAGTTGTGTTGTTTTGATTTTGGTTTTCAGTACTGGAGAAGAAACATGGGGTGCTGTACCATTGAGCTACATCCTTAGTCCTTTTGTTTTTTTTTATTTTGAAATTGTTCCACTAAGTTCCCCAGCCTGGATTTGAACTTGGCAATCCTCTTACCTCAGCCTCTGAGTAGCTGGGATAGTACCCATGCCCAGCTAGATAAGTTTTGCCCTCTGCTAAATACTGATTAGGTTTTTTAAAAAATAGGAGCCAGGGTATAGCTCAGTTGTGCAGTGCTTGCCTAGCATGCACAAGGCCTTGCGTTTGATTCCTAACACTGTTTTGTTTGTCTTTTTGAGACGGTCTCATTGTGCAACTCAGGCTGACCTTAAGTTCACTTTGTAGCCCAGGCTAAGTCTCAAATTCACAATAACCCTCCTGCCTCAACCTCCCTAGTGCTGGGATTACAGGCATGTGCCACCATGTCTGACTTTGCCAACACTATTTTAAAAGGTAGAAAAGAGTCCAATTTAGGTAGTCATGAGAACAAAGATGAAAATAACAAAGTTCTCTTTTATTTGATTTTTTTTTACTTCATTCACCTGTTTATGAAATCTGATGAGTTCTTTGGCTCCTTACCTGTCAACTTTTTATTTGTCTTGGTTACTTTTCTCATTGCTGAGTCAAAATACCTGATACCCAAAGTGAGAGGAAGAAAGGTTTATTGTAGCTTACCATATGTAGAGCTTGCTGTTCATGGTTGGCTGGCTCCAAGGCAAGTGGCATGGTAGAGGGGCATCACAGGAATAACAGCTTATGGTGGGCAGAAGGCTGCGAAGTAACAAAGAAGCAACAGCAGGGAGCCATAGCAGCATTCTTTCCATCCCTTACAGGCTGCATGCCCTTGGGCAAGAGTGGGTGGTAGCACACCCAGGGCAGGCCTTGCTGTTACTTGTATCCACAACTATGCCAAACCAATGAGTGGACTGATTTAGTAATCGTGCACCCTTGATTCCCGCATCGCACGCTCTACATCCAGCCACCCCTGAGAAGCTCCACCTATGACCACATGAGCCTTTGGGGCACATCTAGATACAAGCCATGATAGTAGCTCAGAGTGAATGATAACTGTCTTCACTGCTTATTGCAGTTTGGATTACAGTTCTAGTCCTGTGATACCTATAATTTCTGGTGGCCAGTCATCTGGAAGTTTGAGCTATCTTTGCAGGACATGCCTAAGTTATTGATATATTTAATTCCATCAAGAAATAGTTTTGTTAGCAGAAATAAATGTGTGTGTGTGTGTGTGTGTGTGTGTGTATGTACATGTGCATGTATGGATGTTGAATAATACAGTGACTGAGTTGTAATAATACAGTGACTGCTCATAAAAACATGATGTGCCCTCCACCTTACCATGTCTGGTACTTTTTAACTTCTGGCTCTTTCCCAAAATCAAAGTAGCAATTAAAATTAAGCATTTTGAATCAATTCAGGACATCAAGGCAGCCACGATAGTGCAACTAAAACACTCACAGCAGACTTCCAGAACAGCTTAGGAATATCCCAAGAACAGTGCACTAAGAGTGTTCAGTGAAAATGGTAGTATTCTAAAGAGTTTTTTTTTTTTTTTTTTTTTTTTTGGCAGAACTGGGGATTGAACTCAGGCCTTTGCACTTGCCAGGCAAGCACTTATTCTACTGAGCTGTCTCCCTGGTCCCTCTAAAGAGATTAATGGCAATGAATCTTCACTGTAATAAATTGTTAAAATTTTCACATTTACTGTATTTTCTTAATCAGGCTTGTACAGTCATTGCTGTGTGATCTTGAAGTTGTGACTTCCCAATTTTTCTGTAAATCTGTCATTTTGTAGCCTGCTTCCAGATTCAAGACAAGTAGGTAGAGATAGAGACAAGGAGAGGTGCCAACTTCTTAAAGTTACCCAAAAAAATTAAATTTTCAAAACTTATTTTTTTTAACCTTAAGAATTGTAGGGCTGGTGAGATGGCCCAGTGGTCTAAAGCACCTACTTAAAACAAGCTTAGCAAAGCAAAGGGACCGCGGTTCAATCCCCCAGCACCACATGCCAGCCAGCCCCGCCCCCTGGTGGGCTGAGCTGGCCACACACACACATAAATAAATAAAAAATAAATAAATAAATAAATAAATAAAAAAGAATTGTGAAAATTACTGTGTTAGTGTCAGGAAAATTGGTTCACTTGTTAAACATCAGTAGCATCCTAAGAAGTATAATCTCAGCTGCTGACCAGTAAACTCGCAAGTAACCTGTGCTCGCCAGTATGCCCAGCTTATAGTACTTACAGAAGTCCTGTCTTCCTAACAGTGCTGTGGAATGTCTACGGTGACTGTGATAATTATGCCACCCTGAAAGGACATAGTGGAGCAGTGATGGAGCTCCATTATAACACAGATGGCAGGTGAGTGTGCTCGTAGTGGAATGACACTTGCTTCTCAGTTCATTTTTCTTAGACCCTTTTACCTTTCCTCCTTGAGCGTCCCCTCTCAGAACTTCCTATCACAAACTGCTACATTTGTGGTAGCTGCTTTATTCTCTTACTGTAACTTCCACTGAGGTGTACATAAGCAATTACAAATGTATTGTTGCTGTTTTCTAACATTAGTCTTTCAGACAAATTTGGTTTTCCCTGTAAGACATAAGACGTAATTTTTTATATGTAGCTGTTTTTATTATAGAAGTAACAAAATACTATTCTGAGAAACCAAAAAAACAGATAATAAGCCCGGCTCACAGAAGGGCACATACCTGTAGTCCCAGCAATCTAAGAGGTTAAGGCAGGAGGATGACACTTCAGAGCCCAGCTTGGATAGCTTAGTGATCGAACAAAAAACACTGTCTCAAAATAAAAATGGCTCATTGCAAAGACTCTAGGGTGGGTGGGTGGTTGGATTGATTGGTTTTTGAGACGTGGTCCTGCTATATAGTGCAGGCTGACTGCAAATTCACAGTGATTCTCTGCCTTGGCCTCCCAAATGCTGAGATTACAAACATATATCACCATACCCAACTCTCAAGATTGTTTAGTGTTGACCGATTTGTTAAGACTGTATAATGTTATCTGCTAGTATATTTTCTTTGAATAATAGAGAAATGTGGTTACATGAAGTGAACTAATCCCATTTTTAATCAAATAAATGATCTTGGTGAATATTGCTTTCCTGGGAGCTGGAGGTCATGGTCTCATTGCTTACTATTAGTCCAGGTCAACCTTGAATATAGGCCTGAGCCTTTCTAGTGCTAGTGCTGATGTTATAGGTGTGCACTCCTGTGCCTGGCTGATTATTTTATATTTCTGACATTTAAAATCTTAAGGTGTTTGATCAACTGATGCATAGTATTATGTACTTTTTAAGTAAAACCAGCATTGTGCTTATCTGATTTTTATACCTCTCCCTAATACCTGTGCATAATTATTACTAATATTTTAGGTACTAAGGATTGAACTCAGGACCTTTCACTTGCCAGGCAGGTGCTTAAACCACTGAGCTATCTCCCTGGCCCCTGCACATAATTATTTTAAAAAGCCTTGTAGACACCAGCCATCATGGCATACCCTTGTAATCCCAGCCCTCAGGAGGCTGAGGCAGAAAGATCATTACAAGTTTGAGACCAGCCTGGTTACAAAGTGAGCTCAAAGCCAGCCTGAACTGCATAGTGAGATCCTGTCTCAAAAAAGACAAAAAGAGAAGGAGGAGGGGGAGGGAAGGAGGAAGAAGAAGAAGAGGAGGAGGAGGAGGAGGAGGAAGAAAAGCATCATAGGGCTGGGGCTGTAGCTCAGTGGCACAGCACCTGCCTGGCAAGTACAAGGTCATGAGTTTAATTCCTGGTACCAGAAAAAAAAATAATTTTAAAAATCAAGAAATTAAATAGAACTTATCCTCAAAGATAAAATAAAAACTTAGATTTGTAGAGCAAGGATTGAGTTACTCAACTTTTGGATCCGGAATAATGGCAGTCTGTCTTCTGTGGCAGCAGGGAATGATTAAAAATTTCCAAGTCAGGGAATATCTAATGTGTCCTCTATCACAAATGAGGAAAAAAAAATGAGATAACTGCAACATTAAGGTATGAGGCAAGACCCTTTCTTTTTTTTTTTTTTTTTTGGCGGAACTGGGGATTGAACTCAGACCCTTGTGCTTGCCAGGGAAGCACTTATTCCACTGAGCCATATCCCCTGCCCTGCGAGACCCTTTCTTATCCCAAAACAAAACAAAAACCTGAGACTAGGCAAGTGTAAGATTTCCATATGTAGGTAAGGGATTCTAGCATCATGTTCCACATTGGCAGAGTACAGCCAGTCAGTGACTTGGAAGAATTTGGCACATTTGAGCAGGTAGGCAAGATAGATCATTATTGTCTTCACTTATTTCTTCTGTGTTTTCCCTTTTCCTTTCTAGTATGCTCTTCTCCGCATCCACAGATAAAACCGTGGCAGTATGGGATAGTGAAACAGGCGAGAGGGTTAAAAGGCTGAAGGGACATACTTCCTTTGTAAATTCCTGTTATCCAGCCAGGAGGGGGCCCCAGCTTGTCTGCACAGGCAGTGATGATGGTACAGTTAAGGTATGTATGCCCAGTCTGTTGCAGTTTGAGTTGACATAATATGAACCTTCTCTTCCCTTCTTATATGTGCTGTCCCCTCCCCTGAACAATTAATTTTAGAAGTCATTTCCCAAACAGACTTGAAATTTTCTCCATTTAAAATAATACCCACTGTTTTAATTACCCTACAGAGTGATGTTAAAACCATAGAATAAATGACTGGAGTAAGAATGGGTCATGTGGATTAGATTTGGTTTGGTTTGGGTTTGATATATTGTTCTTGATGGTTTGCTTTTGGTTTGGTAATACTGGCAGTTGAACTCAGGACTTCACACTGATCCATATCCCCAACCCTTTCTTTAAATTTTATATTGAGACAGGTCTCCCCTAATTTTGCCCAGGCTGGACTTGAATTTAATTTTTCTGTTTCATCCTTCTAGGGTGCTGGAATTACAGGTGTGTGCCACCACACCTGGTTTAACTTGTTAAATGTGTGATTTTGAGCCATTTGTGTTCCTGAACCTGTTTTCTTGTTTGCTTTGTTTGCTTTAGTTTTTGAAACAGTTTTGATATATAGTTCAATCTGGCCATAAATTCACTGTGTGGCCCAGGTTGGCCTCTAATTTGTGATCCTCCTGCCTCAGCCTCCCAAATGCTGGAATTACAAGGTCTACCACCACATCTGGCTTCAGTTTCCCACTTTCTTGTTAGGCAAGTGTAAAATTATATAAAAAGCTAAGTAAATTAGTTCTTTAAAGTGTCAGGTGTGACCTTTTAAGAGCCACTAATTGCATCAAGGTTCCTTATGTTACTAATAAAGAAAATGAGACCTAAAAGTAACTTAAAAGACACACAAGGCACAGTGCTTCATCACATCAATCGTTAAGTTTTTTTCTTTTCTAATTTTGGATTCTTAGGTTTGGGGGGGTTGCCAGGTATCAAACTCAGGATCTTGCATTTGCCAGGCAACTATGTAAGTGGACTTCAAAGCCATACACCTGAGAAACAAAACAACTTTATTGGTGGGGTTTGTGTGGTAGTGCTGGAGATTGAATCCAGAGCTAGGCAAATGTTCTACCACTGAGCTATATACTGCCAGCTCTGCTTTATTTATTGATAGGTTTTTTTGTTTTGTTTTGTTGATAATTAGATGTGCTTAACTATTATATTCTAGGCAGTTTCACTCTAAAAATTAAAATATTAAGTATTAATCACCAAGAGAGCACATCTGTAAGCAAAATACATTCTGCTTTCGGAGAGGAGGGGTGTTGAGAAAGGATTTCACTGTATAGTACAGGCTTTATATAACTTACTCTATACCCCAGGCTGACCTCGAACTCCTGGTAATCCTGTCTTGGTTTGCCAAGCTCTAGGATTTTAAGCATAAACCACCGTATCTGGCTGAGTATATCCTACTTAAAAGAACTTAATTCTGACAGAACTAGACTTATTACTTATACCCCACCCCACCCCTGATACTGAGAATTGACTGCAGCACATTTACACTGTGCTGCATCCCAGGGCTTCTCACCCCACATCTATACCACTACGCAGCACCATTACCTCCAAGTACTGGGGATCTGACCCAGAGGCTCTATCCCTGAGCTACATCCACAGACTTTTTCATTTTTTATTTCCAGATGCTCTTAATGAGTTTCCTCAATGGGATTCAAATTTTCATTCCTACATCATCTTCCCTTAGTGTTTGGATAATAGGTATATGCTGCCATACCAACCTTCTGCTTTTGCAGGGGGCAGGAGAAGGCATCAAACTTGGAGCCTTACACTCTCCATAAACTGGTGTACTGAGCTATGTTCCCAGCCCATCTTGGGCTTTTTTAATGATTTTTAAAGATAAAGGTAGTAATTTTTTTTTTTTTTTTTGCAGAACCGGGGATTGAACTCAGGTCCTTGTGCTTACCAGGCCAAGTGCTTATTCCACTGAGCTATCTCCCCGGCCCCAAAGGTAGTGATATTAATGCCGAATATTTACTGTGAGTTTTTCTTTTACTTTTTTTTTTTTTAATTTCATGCAGGGTCTCACTATGCAGCTCAAACTCTTGTTTCAGCCTCCCCAGCACTGGCATTACAGACACACACCACCAGTGTGCCCGGGGGTGGGGCCGGCATGGTATGTGGTGCCAGGGATTGAACCCCAGCCCCTGTGCTTATCTAAACAGGCACTTAGTCCACTGAGCTATCTTGTCAGCCTTTGTGAGTTGTTTTTTGGCTGAGCAATAGTTTATATTTGTGCCTAGTCACTTGGGACTTCTTGATGCTTATCTGGGAGGAGAGTCCCTGGTTTAGGACTGATTTCTAAGCCTAGGGTCCTACCCTGGCTGTACTGTATTTGGAGTCTTTACAGCTATTTGCTGATTGGCATTTGAAAGGAAGTAAGAAACTGGGCATGATGGCACAACCTCTAATCCTGTCATACTAGGACACTGAAGCCAAAGGATTACAAATTCAAATCCAGTCTGGGCATTCATTTAGCAGTTGAACAAGACCTTAATTAAAAAAAAAAAAAAAAAGGGGCCAAAGAGATAGCTCAGAGGCACATGCACGTACCTGGCAAGCACAAGCACCCGAATTCGATCTCTGGCCCCACATGCCACACAGTCTCAGCCCTGGATACCTGGGCATGCCATCTCAACCCCAGTTGCGCGTACCCATCATGCAGCCCCAGAACCGGGCATGGTGTTACATGCATATAATCCCAGCACTCATGAGGTTGAGCCAGCAGGATCTCTCTTGAGTTTCAGACAATGCTTGGGGGCTACAAAAGTGAGCACAAGGGCAGCCCGAACTGCATAGGGTGACCCTGTCCAAAAAAATTAAAGGGGGCTAGCACCAGGCATGGTGGAGTATACCTATAATTCCCACACTTGGGAGGCTAGGGCAGGAGGGTCAACAAGAGTTCAGAGCCAGCCTGAACTCCACAATGAGACCCTATCTCGAGGTGGGGCTGGAAACACAGCTCAGTGAAAAGGCCTTTGGTTTGATCCCTACTGTGAAAATGGTGATGAGTGATTGCAGTAAAAGGTGATAGGCTGACACTGTACCACTGAGCGGTATCATCAGCCCATCTAAAGCCAGTAAGAGATGAAGAAATATTCTAATGAATTTTCTTAACATTATTGAGGAGAGCCAGAAATACAGCTCAGTGGCGCAAGCACCTGCCTGGCAAGCACAAAGTCCTGAGTTCAATTCCTGGTACCCCCCCCCCCAAAAAAAAAGACAAAGTTGTTTAGGGCCTGTTATAATAAACTTTATTTATTTATTTATTTATTTATTTATTGGGGGTTTTTTGGTTTTTTGGTGGAACCAGGAATTGAACTCAGGCCCCTGCGTTTGCCAGGCAAATGCTTATTCCACTAAGCCATCTCCCGGCCCCTATAATAAACTTTAGAAACTTGTTACCTTTCTGTTTCCTGTTCAGTTTTTTTCATTTTTCCTCTTTGTCCTTGTGATTATATCTCTTTAGTGTTTTTTTATGATTAGAAGAGTTTATGTCCTATCTTCTCTCTCTCTCTTTTTTTTTTTTTTTAATTTTGGCAGAACTGGGGATTGAACTCAGGCCCTTGTGCTTGCCAGGCAAGCATTTATTCTACTGAGCTATCCTCCCAGCCTCTTCTTTAATTAGAATAATCGTTATAATTTTATTTGAGGTAAATTTTTTTTATATTATACAATATCTCATGTCACCTGAAGATGATTGCTGTTTAACCAATTTTGAACTTAAATATGTTAAGGGCATTGTTGAGTAACTTTTTGTAGCTACTTGTCAAGTTAGGATACTTCATTATTTACTTGTGTTAGGTTTTCAAGTACAGACTTAAATAACTTTGTTTTATTTGGGTGGGGCGAGTCATGTTGATTTTTACTTGTCAGAGTTCTTCATCCAAAGCAAAAGTTTCCAGCAGTACTTGTATATTCAATCTAAAGGTCTGGGCATGATCTGTACCAGTTTTCAAACTTGTTTTTCCCTTCCTAGAAGTCAAACCTAGTATTTTGCATAGTATTAAGAATGCAGTCTACCACTAAGCCATACCTCCAGCCCACTCTTTGCAGATGTTTTCCTTTCTAATGAAAAAATATTGGGAGGCAGCCGCTGGGAGTATACTTCAGTGGTTTTATGTGTGCTTAGCATGCATGAGGCCCTGGGTTCAATCATTACCAAGAAAAAATTAAAAAACTGTGTGTGTGTGTTTGAATAATGAAGTCATTACATAGGCCAGAACCTTAAAAAGGAACTTGTTCTGGTTGAAGGTGGGAATGGGCCAGAGCCTGGAGTGGGATGTGGGTGAAGAGAACATCTGCAAATAGCTGTACTGGCTGATAAATTGTCAACTTGAGAAGTTTAAAAATTTAATTGACTCAGCGGAGAGCCAGGATTCTTAGTTTGTAGCCATCTTCATCCGTGCAAGAGGAGGGCATAGACATTGTGAGTTCTATACCCCCAGCTCCAGGGTAGCTTGTTTATAATATAAGGAGGAGAGAGGTTGGCTAGAAGCCACAGCTGCTGCCCGTTCCTTTGCTCTTTGCTGTTTTCTGCCATAAACTGCTGCTTTCTGCCATGTGCCACTCTGCCTGGAGCCATCTGAGTATAGACTAAAACCTTCACAAACTGTGAGCTACATATCCTTTGTTTCCTTAATGTTGGATGTTGAGTATTTTCTCCCAGCAGCAAGTAAAAAGTAACTTAGTAGCCCAGTTTGGAAAATTTGTGAGGGAGAGGGGCAAGGTGGAAGCATTGAGATTTGGTAACAGAGAAGAATAAAAGGGCCATCTACACATAGTGAGAGCAGGAGTGTAGGTGTCAAAGGTCTGAGACTCAGTGGGATGAAGGTGGCATAGCTGGAAAGGGGAACCAGAACTAAGTGATGAGAGTGACCCATGCTAGGTGGGGGAGGGAGGACCTACAAAGGTCAACCCAGAGTGGAAATCAGTTCACTAAGGAAAGGAAGATATACATGCAGGTGAAGCGTTGACGAGAATATAGGAAATTAGCTTTCAAGGAA